CCAACTTATCCCTTTAAACGATAGTGCTAGCTACCAAAAGGATAAATCAAAGTAGAATGTAATATGCACAAAGTTACCATTGTGCCTCAAGTCTTAGGATTAGTCATGTACTATTGTAACATGAAAATTCTTATTCGACTGAATAAATTCTTCATTAAGAATTTTCATACGGTCATGTTCAGTGAACTTGTTCTCTAACAAGCACCCACATAAATGTACTTACGTCTTACGCTAATGTTGATGGAATGCAACATTCTTGTCCAACAAGCATACAAACTATGTGCAAGTCTTTTATGGATTATTCGATATCCCATCTCGAAACATCCATCGACTTGGAACTGTATTTAAGATCACGGCTTTCAAGGTATGTTCCATGATCACCATCTCTATGCGCAACCATACCTTATAACCATAAGTGATCTAGGGATTTTATCTTAAGTGCAATTATAAGATAAATGCTTTCTCTTAAGATAAAGAAATGCCTTATTCATAATATAATTCCAATAGACTGTATTTACAAGTAGAATACGTCCAATTAGATTGGAACGCCGGGTACCCTACTCTAACACCTGCTTCTCCCAAGCGGACTCGGCTCGAGGAGAATCCACTTAAGCGTCCCTCTGCTGAGGGGGATGAAAATGTCGGCAAGCGTCGCCGTGTTGAGGAGACTGCGCTATCAATCACCACGCTCGACGGCGTGGGATTCTCGCATTTCCTTCGAGATGATCTTCCTCCCATCGACCATCCTACTGACCGCTAAAACGACGGTCACACCCTTCGAGATCGAGGCCACCGGCTTGCCCGCTGGCTGGCTCAGGTAACTTACTATCACTTATCTATTTTATTCCCTTTCCTCCCCTCATTAGTGTCCGAACACTTTCTTTTATGCGCCTTTATAGGGAATGGTCGAGCTCGCGCCGCTGATCGAGCAGACACTGGCGAGCCCAAGTCGGTCCATCTCAGCCATCGAGCGAAGCAATCTCCAACTCGGCTCTCGGCTAGATGAGATGGTCGTCAAGGCCAATGCCCTTCACGAAAGGTTGAAGGAGTCGGCCGCCCGGAATAAGGCCCTCTCTGCTGAGAAGGAAACGCTCGAGGGGGCCCTGAAATCCTTCGAGGAGTCCCTCGCCACCGAGCGAGCGGAGAAAGAGGCCTTTTTGGCCTCCAAAAAGGCTCTCGAGACTGCACTCGAGGAGGAGAAGTCAGCTCGGGCACGTGAAAACGTTGCTTTCGAGCAAAGGCTAAGCCCTTGGTTGACGAGGCTGCCCTTCGGGCCCGCGAATGATCTTCCACACGACCGCCGGTCGACGTTTCCTACAGGCTTACCGCGAGCAAGTGGTGGCTGCTTTCAAGCAGTCGCCACAGTATCTAAAGGATGTGCAAGATTATGGCACCCATTGCTTTGGGGCCATAATGCAGCAAGCGGGGGTCCAGGTAGCCGAGGACGGGTTCGAGGAGTTCAACATGGAGACCATATAGAATGCTATGCCCAAGGCTCCCGTCGGCTATCAAAGTGCCCTCGACCTACCCGACGACCACGACTGGTGGTCAGGCCTGCTCGAGCTTGTTGTGGGTCAAGACGACCTGCTGAAGCGTACTTTCAAGCTCCCCGACGGATACATTCCTCCTCTTGCTCACCAAACCCAGTCAACTGATGGGGCTGAGTTGACCTCTGGCTCAAGTCAGCCGGTTGAGCCAGTACAGCAGCAGCTCGAGCCGCCGCCAGAGCAAGCCCTTAATAATTCCGATGTCCCTGTTAACCAGGATAATGTCACATCATGAAGTTGTAATTTTAATTTTTGCTGAACTTTGTACTCCTTTCTCTTTAAATGGATATCGTTCTTGTCCAGAGTTGTGAATTCTCGTTATTTCTCGGTTATTTGTTTGTCGATGTATCGCTTTATATGATGTGTTCATTATTCCTCATGTGCTATCTCTATGCATCGATATCGTTTCCACCAATTTATAAAGCCACGCCATTCATTCACTTAACTCATCCAGATAAATTAAATGAATCCCGATGACTTTAAATGCCTCCTGGCACATGTCCACCCTCAAAGGGGTGGTCGTTACATGTGACCATCCAGCCTCTCGGCCTTAGTCATGATGGATTTTTTGTCTTCGAGCACATGTCCACCCTCAAAGGGGTGGTCGTTACATGCGACCATCCAGCCTCTCGGCCTTAGTCATGATAAATTTTTTGTCTTCGAGCACATGTCCACCCTCAAAGGGGTGGTCATTACATGCGACCATCCAGCCTCCCGGCCTTAGTCATGATGGAGTTTTCTTCATTCAATCATTCAACACAGGCCACCTCATATGCATAATAGAATTAAAACAATCGATTAGGCAAAGTGTTGAAAATTAAAACGGAAATTTCATTACTTAAGATTGAGACTTCAAGTACATCATTTTTGTGGAAAGTTTCCAACAAGAGAAACATAAGACGAGAAGAAAAGGAAAATTTTAACCCATCAAATTAGCCAGGTAAAATGAGTCCATCAAATTGAGAATTCCTCCCCATTAACTCACGGCTCCCAGCATAAAAAAACTAAGAGGAATATTGGTGTATATCCAGCGGCCAATACTTTACCACAAGTCCACCACTTCACCATGATTTATAATTATTTCCTAATCCTCCAAATAATGCCACGTCACAAATAGATGTAATAACTGCAAAATAGACACAAAATCGAATATTGGTGTATGTCCGTTCACAAAATAAAATACGTGAAAAAACTTGAATAATACACTTAACTCAATACTAAAATATGCAAATTCGCTCATAAAATAATAACAGATTTCTCACATATCATTCTTTCTCTTGCCTTAATGCAAAATTGGCCTGTTAGGCAATTGGACATCAACAATGCCTTCTTGCATGGAGACATTGAAGAAGAGTTATACATGGCTCAACCCCCTGGCTTCACTTCATTTTCCCATCCATCTCATGTTTGCAAATTGCACAAGTCCCTTTATGGTTTAAAGCAGGCACCTCGAGCTTGGTTTAATAAACTCAAAGAAGTTCTGCACAGCTTGTCTTTTATTCATTCAAAATCAAACAATTCTCTCTATGTCAAGCAATCAAATCAGACTATAGTATGGCTTTTAGTCTACATTGATGACATTTTAGTCACTGGAAATTGTGCTAATGAGGTTCAAAAAACCATACTTCAACTAAGTGCAGCTTTCTCTCCAAAGGACTTAGGAGATATTCACTATTTTTTAGGCATTGAAGTCGTTAGAACCTCTGATGAACTTCATCTATCAAAAACCAAATACATCAAGGACCTTCTTACCAAGTTTAACATGCTTGAGGCTAAGCCTGTTCCTACACCTATGCTCATAACACCTACATTGTCCAAAACCATTGGTTCACCAATTGAGAATGTCTCAGCTTACAGAAGTTTGGTTGGTTCACTCCAATATGTTACTATTACTCGGCCTTAGATTGCATTTAGTGTCAACAAGGTGTGTCAATTCATGCAGCACCCTCTTGACACTCACCTTAAAGCAGCTAAAAGAATCCTAAGATATCTTGCAGGCACCTCTACTCATGGACTTCAATTCACCAAGAAATGTTCTCCTTTTCAAACAGCCTTCTCTGATTCAGACTGGGAAGATGATTTGGATGATAGAAAATCCATCACTGCGGTTTGTGTGTATCTAGGAAGAAATCCTATATCCTGGTGCTCCAAAAAGCAAGCTTCCATCTCCAGATCTAGCACTTAAGCCGAGTACAGAAGCCTTGCTCATGCCACAGCTGAAATCACTTGGATACAGTCTCTATTGAAGGAACTCCATGTTATTCTACCTCAAACACCCACAGTATGGATTGATAATCTAAGTACTATCTCATTTGCCAGCAACCCTGTTCTTCATGCTAGAACCAAGCACATTGAAATTGATCTTCATTTTGTGCGAGATCAAATAGCAAAGAAGCTTTTAAAAGTGCAGCATGTGCCATCTCTTGATCAGGTCGCTGACATTTTGACCAAGTCACTTTCTCACCAATTCTTCACCAGGCTGCAGCAACAACTTCAAGTTCTTCCTTCACCTGCCCAAGAATTGAGGGGGAGTGATAGACCATATAAATCCCACAAGGTTTATGTTTTACCTACTGGTTAAAATGTTGTTACAATAGTAGCTTTTGTACCCTCTTTTCTGTTGGTTATTTTCCAGCTGTAATTCTCGTCCCATTCTTGTGCATGACCTCATGCATGGGCACGTGTTCTCTTTTCATTTGTGTAGAGTTAGGGTTAGCTGGTTCTAGCTCTTTCCTAGCATTCTATATAAGGCATGTACATGGTTTCTCTTTATACAACAATTAATGAAAAGCATGTCTTGTTTTCTGCTCAAAGAAATGTCGACTGCTCCTTTGCTCTTTAATGGCTATCTGCCAAAGTTCACCATCCAACAGGGGCAACATGTCCTTTGGCTGTGCTTCTAAATGAGCCGAACTTTCTAGCTCATAACTAGAGTCAACCTTTACCTCGAGCTGCCATAACGAGCTCTTGGACAGGGTCAAATTCTACTGTCATGGTAGAAGTTATCCTGTACCGGTTGACCCATGCTAACCACTCTAACCTGTCCGTCGAACTATTATTTTATATCATCTAGCCTCCTATTCCTGAACAAGCTTCCAAGACTAGTTTTGGAATACCAGAACTTTTCCGTCTTAACTTGTCTTGTTGGCATTAAATGCACTTCATCAGCCAACTTCAGGAAACGTCAGAAATGTTTCAAACCCTCGTACATGTTTTCATAGAGAACCGTCTATCTCCTAGCATATTGATTGCTCTCTTCGCACAACACTTCCAAAAGCCCCACATATTCCTTATAAAGAGCACCATATTATTCATTTCAACCATTTGCCACTCTCGATATTCTCCAATTCTCAGTAATACAACCTCACAAATTCTGGAAAATTACAAATTCTTCCAATGTTTCCCCGATCTCCATCAACTACTAGTCTAATTGCATTTCTTTCCACAATTATCATGGGTATGTACACCATCCTCTGAATCATTTGTATCTTTAGATGTAGTTTGTATCCAATTTTACGTTTCTGTACTGTTTTCTTTTCCTTAGTCTCTTAAATATATATATATATATTAAAGTAAAATTGGATATTATTTATCTTTGTATGATCAATCAAGATGATCTCAATTTAAACTATAAAAAAAAAAGTCATAAAAAATACAATTCATTTTTATCTGGTCTATTCTCTACAATCTCACCAATGCAATAAAAAATATTTTGATACTACATCCACATTTTAAAAATACCCACTTATGTAGTATTATTTTTATAGTGAATTAATTGTTTGACTGAATTTAAATGAATTTTTTCAGTTAATCAATTCATTTACTTTTGGGCTCGCAATAGGTACATTGTGTCGGATTGCGACTCAGTTGACGTTTTCTTTAGGCAACAACATTATACAAGAACACCAGAGGAGGCAGCTGCTGTTGCCATTAAAGCAGGTTCACATATAAAAGAATAGGAAATAAAAGGCCAAGCACGTCCTTTTTTTAATGAAAAAAAAAATGAGATATTCCAATTTAATATTACCAGAGTCAATATTTTGTTACAAACTTCCAAATGTAGGGTTGAACTTGGATTGTGGGCCTTTCCTTGCTATCTACACACAAAGAGCGATAAATGCTGGAATACTAAGTGAGAAAGATGTTAATTCGGCGTTGGGCTATTTACTGACTGTCCAGATGCGCTTGGGTATGTTCGATAGTCCAGAAGGAAAATACAAAGATTTAGGCCCAAAGGATGTGTGCACAATACCCCATCAACAGTTAGCTCTTGAAGCAGCGCAACAGGGCATTGTTCTGCTGCAAAATAGTCAAAACCTTTTACCACTATCCACCAATAACCATCGAACAGTTGCTCTTATTGGGCCCAACTCAAATGCCACAGAAACCATGATAGGCAATTATGCCGGTATGCCTCATTTATATCATAGTGTTATGATTTATTAAAACTCTCCCTTAATTAAGTTGGATATAATAAAAAATTTACAAAGTTTGAAAAAATAATCAAAAATATTATCCAGGAATTCCATGTGGCTACATTAGTCCCTTACAAGGCATATCAAGTTATGTGAAGAAAATTACTCATGCAATGGGATGCATAGATGTGGCTTGCAACGATATTAAGAATTTTGAAGAAGCTGAAAAAGCTGCTCGAAAAGCTCGTGCCACGATCCTAGTTATGGGCCTCAGCCAAGCCATTGAACGTGAAGGCTTGGATAGGGTTGATCTATTATTGCCGGGCCACCAACAGGAACTTATATCAAGAGTGGCTAATGCTTCTAAAAAACCCGTTATACTTGTGCTCATGTCAGGTGGCCCAGTTGATATCACATTCGCCAAAAATAACCCTAAAATTGGCGCCATTTTGTGGGTTGGGTATCCGGGTCAGTCTGGTGGAATGGCAATTGCGGATGTTATATATGGAAAATTTAATCCAAGTATGTAGTTTCTTTATAGTAAACAAAAAAAATTCCATGTGCTACAAAATTCAGAGAAGATGTTGAAAAAAAAAAATTAATTATTAGGCAAAAATTTAATTTTGGTCCGTTTACTTGTCTGAAATTATTTTTTGGTACACTAACTTTCTCATCATCAATAATAGACCTTATGTTGCAATTTGTATCACTACTTGACATTATCCCAAAAATGGTTCATTAATTTTTGAGATTAATGTTCTAAAAATGATACAAATTACAACATAACTTACTATTTTTCATAAAGAGTAAGTTAGTGTACAAAAAATAGACTTTAGACAAGTAAGCGGACCACAGTTGAAATTATTCCTTAATTGTTATGACATATTACACATTGTTATATTTTCAGGTGGGAAATTGACCATGACATGGTATCCTCAAGAATACCTTCTTCATGTGCCAATGACGAATATGAACATGCATGCTGATCCACGCACAGGTTATCCTGGCCGAACTTATAGATTTTACTATGGCCCGACTGTATATTCATTTGGATATGGACTAAGTTACAGTAGCTTCAAGCACACTATAGCTCACATCACAACAAATATTTTCATCCCATTGAAAAGTTGGAACGCTTCTAAGAGTAGCACCCTATCGAGCAAAGGTATTAGAGTTTCAAGAATAAGTTGTGAGGGTTTATCTTTGGAAGTGCAAGTTGATGTAGAGAACCAAGGGAAAATGGATGGGCACGAAACAATAATGATTTTTGCCTCCAGAAACGGCACGGAGAAGCATTTGGTAGCATTTGAGAAAGTTCGTGTCTCTAAAGGAGAAAAAAAGCGTGTTAGATCAAATATCGACGTATGCAAACATCTGAGTTCCGTGGATCAATTTGGAATTCGAAGAATCTCAACGGGTCAACACCTTCTTCACATTGGGGAAAATCTAAAACATGCCATTATGGTCCAAAATGCAGTGGGCGGACTTGAGCCGTAATCAATTTACAAATGATATCATCAAATTGTGACCATTTTATTTTAAGGCCTAATTGAGTGATTTCAATTTGAAAATAAAGAAATTATGGTGGACTATTTGTGCTTACTTTCTTTTATTGAAAATGAATACGAGTTAAAACTTTGAATAAATACATTGAAGAAAATGTTTCTTTCGGATACATACTGTAATTGTCGTAGGAAAACTGTCACTTGTTCGATAGTGATAAATAGTAGGAAACTAATAATCTATCTATCTATTTATATCTATTTATCTATCTATATTTATACTATTATAAAAGGACGAGTGATTTTGTAAAAATAATGACTAAAAAATTCTTACTTTGACATATTTTTAATGGCAAATTTGTAATGACACTGAATATAAAGGATTCTAATCTAAATTTATAATTAAAACACAAAGAATCTAATTATATAATAAAATAATAAAAACTTGCTTTTGGCCGTGTAGTGTATGATTTCTATGCTCATTAGGACTTGATCATGATCAATTTGGTTTCTTGATAGCTAAACTTATAATTTTGTAATATGATCGTGCCTAGATAGTTTCTTTTAAACATGCTCAAAAGCAAAAGCAACCCAAAAAAAAAAAATCTATCTAGGCTTGTAAGATAATAATAAAAAAAAAAATTATTNCAAACTATTTATAATAAGCAACGTTGATATAACATAATATGTAAATTTATACTCAATTCACATACATATTAACTATAAACTATTATAATATAAATTTATAATAATTTTAAGTTTATGTTATTTCCACATTACTAATCACATAACTACATGTTATAATAAGCAGCGTTGATATAACATAATATGTAAAATTACATGAAACAAATAACATGACATATAAAAACTACGTACTCAAATGCATTTATTAAAAAAATAGAGTATCAAGTAGGACAGATGAGAAAAAAAAAAGGAATAAAAAAAAATATGTTATATAACATGAAAGAAAGCTAAAAATATATTTTGCACGTGAACTTATTTACATAATATTCAATATTAAATTATAAAAATATATAATTAATTTATTTTTATTCATATGTATATTTAATTTCTAGAATTAAAAGATTTAAACACAGTAATAAGTTGATTAAAACAAATAAAAATGTTACCTAATATCAAATTTTATTTATCATGCTATAAATTTATAAATTATGTACTACATAGTTTAGTGAAAAGGTGCATTTCACTAAAGTAAAGTTTAACAACTATTTTCAATAATATTTTTTATCGAGAAATTCAATTTTGAAAAGTAACAAATACTTATAAACTAAAATATAATGATAAAAAATACTCTATAGTTGAAAAATGGATAACATGTAAAAAATTATATGCGAAGACTTATTGCTAAATAGATGATGTTGATTGTTTAAGATATCTTTTATTTAGGTTACACTTATACTAGTAAAAATATAATTACAACGATTAGTAAAAGAGATAAAAGTATAATTTATTGGATATAAAAATTTTTATTTTGTTTGGACTTTCTTGGTTTGATTTGGTTAATTTTGAAAAAGGTGGTATGGTTAGTTAGTAGGTATATTAAAATAATATTTAAAGTGAAATAATTAAAATTGATTTGATGTAAAAGTAAGAGAGAGAAGATGTGAAGTGATGATTAGTTAAAATTATGTAACTTGATGAATAGTGAATTACATTTGATGTGGTGTATAAGAATGATTGATTGGTATTATTTAATTCTATTAAAAATATTGATTATAGTGGGGTTGAGTTAAAAAAAGTGATTAAGTTAAATGTTTGGAATTTTTTGAAATGTTTTGTATCCAAGCATCATCTAAGTATGCATAATAACAAATAAAATTTAGTTAACTAAAAGTAATTGAAAATATTTGTCAAATAAACTATAAAGTATGTCAACTTTGAATAGGGATTTTTTTTTTCTTTAATTACAAAATATCGCATTTGATACATGTTTCTACCATGATGAATTACATAAAATATATTGAAATGCTTTTACAGAGTTAATATAAAGATATAAATACTTTTTAATATATAAATAGCTTACAATCTCTGAAATATTATTTCAAGTACACAAATTATTTTTTAATTTTAAATATTATAAAACAACTCTTTTGATTTTTTTGTTAATCACTCATGAAACGAATACATGATTGCGCGATAAACTGAATATTGGGATTTTTTATGTACGGAAATATAATCTAAATAAAAACTAAAATGATATTTAATAACAATTTTTACATATTTAGTGATTTATAATATTTGTATTTGTTAATTTTATATGATTTTTTTAAGTTTCGAAACTTCATAATTCTCAATAATGGGATTTGATGTATTAATATAAGATTATCATTTTCAAATTTTTAAGAATATGCAGTATCAATAGTTTATTTAAGGCATAATGGCTGGAAAATACACGACATTTACTTGATTGTCCATTTAATCACGACTTTCAAACCTTGGCAAATAAATACATGACATTTACATTCTTGACAACTTGATACACGAATTTAACGTCCGTCAGCAGAAAGCTGACATGGCAATTTTTTTTAACGGCCACGTCACATAGAAGTCTGACTCAGCAAACTGAAGCCAAATCATCAGTTAAACCTTGGAACTTTAATACACCACCTTCGGTATTTTGGCAATCTGACACACGAACTTAACCTTTTTTTGCAAAAACCTGCCACATCAGCATTTTATTTTATTTTATAAGTATTAAATTCATTAAATTTACTTTTATTATTTTTATTTATTACTTTAAATATATAGTGATTACAAATAAAAAATATATTATTTTATTTAATTTTTAATTTATATATTTTATTTGATTCTACTTTATTAATTTTTAATATTTAATGTATTCAGTATTTAATTAATAAATAATAAAATAAATTAATATTAATATAGTAAATAATGAATAATAAATAATAAAACATGTAATATAGAATTCAATAAATCATATAATTAAAATCTAATATACTTATTTATTTAGATAAATAATATTACATTATTTATATTATATGTATTAATTTATTTATTTAGTTTATTCGTATATTTTTTTATTTAAGTATGTTAAATAATAATAAAAGTAAACTTCCGAAAATTAAATAAATAAATAATAATTATATTTATATTATAAACATTCATTTAATGCTTAAATAAAATTTGTTTGAAACTAAATAAGGTAAAATAGTATTAAAAAACAACACAAATAATAATAAAAGTTAAACAAAATGAGGTAATTTAAAATAATAATGTGGCAGCTTTTTGCCAAAATAGTGTAAGTTCGTGTATCAGGTTGCCAAAAAACCAAAGGTGGTGTATTAAACTGCCAAGGTTTAACTGATGATTTGGCTTCTGTTTGGTGAGTCAGCCCCACGTCAGCTTTCCGTTGACGGACGTTAAATCCGTGTATCAAGTTGCCAAGAATGTAAAGGTCATGTATTTATTTGCCAAGGTTTGAAAGTCGTGATTAAATGGCCAATCAAGTAAAGGTCGTGTATTTTTCCGCCATTATGCC